CCTTGGATATTCAGAGAAAGTAGAAAGAATGCCCCTGGAGGGAGGAGAGGGGGAAAAACACACGTATACTCCAGAAAGAGAGAGTGCCCCCTGGGGACAAAGGGTGGAGAAAGGTATGGATGTTCTAGAGAAACAGACAGATAAACAGATACCATGCTGAGCTGTTTGTCTTGAGGGTTTTTATCTTTTATCTGGAGGTCTCAGGGGAGGATCTCAATAGAATATTCATCAGCTTCTCAGGTGTGCCCTTTCAGAGTCATGGTCTCTACTAACTGGTTGGCCCCAAGGCGGAGGTTCCTGATGGCATTGCCTCCACCTGGCCTTGCTGATTTTTGGGGCCTAGAGCTGGAACACAACAGGCCTAATCTATTATCTTTACAGATTAATGCTTAAGGGAGTGACTGTGGAAGGGTTTTTGAGAGTTGTGTGGCTATTCTCTGGTCCCTTTTCCTCCTGTAAGGGGATCTAGCACATGACTAGTGACATCCCAGGGGAGGAAAGGTCAAGGAGTGCTCAAACTACAGGACCAGCAATATGAAAGGTCAGCAGAGTCTGAACTACATAGCATATCACATGACCAGTCTGAACTCCCATAGCATATCACATGACCAGTGATATGCTAGGGAAGGAAAGGTCACCCTAGCAGTGAGGTCCAACCCTACAATTGTCCATTTGCTAGGTGCCCAGGGCTTTCCACCCTTGGTGACTTTGGTACTTGGTCTATCACCCTTGCTCTGCTCATGCCTCTCTAACTGCCTACTACACTATTATTATATTACTAATATTTTAAAAGGAAAGGTTTATACTGGTTAGAAAATGGACATATTACCTTGACTTTATAGTCTCTGCTTTCTGCACTACCCTGACATGCTTGCTCCTTTACCTTCTGTCAGTACAGGTCCTTCCACATTCATTCAGAGATGAAAGCTCCTGGAAATACCTGGCAGGAAGTTGTTGGGCTTGGGGAGAGTGTGCTGCATCTGGATAGTGTATTAGATAAACACTGTCAGTGGGGTGGATACAGGAGCATCCTTCTCCCTGGGTCTTCAGTTTTATCTCATGCATTTGTCTGCCATGGTGTTCAGTGTCTGCAAGAGTTCAGCCCACTGCAGCTAGTCCTGGATCCTAGAATTTAGCTATAAACTCTAGACACCAGCCCACTACCCGCCCAATGGCCTAAGGCAGGAATTCAGCCAAAAAATTACTAGACACCAAATGAAGCCTGTCCTAGTTCCCACATCTTGCTTTACTGCAGAATTCTTCCAGTGATTTCACAAGTACATAAATACTAATATCAAGTTAACATTATGTAGGAAGAATATTGCAGAAGAATGGCAGAGCTAATCATTTTCAAAACTCAGAAGAAAAGCACACCTTAAAAATTACAAGAAAAAAGTAGAAACTTATGCTTATTCTCTAGAGAATGCAAGGAGATAAACTATGAAATCAGGACACTAAAGCCATGGTAGAGTGCAGGCTAAGATTTAAAAAAAAAAGTGTTATAAAGGAGGTGGACAAGGTAAGGAACTATAAAAACAATTAAAAATGCAGTGGCTTCATTAAACTGTACTTGGGACAATAAAGAACAGAAGTGAGACAGGGAATAGTTAGTGTTGTGAGAAGTCTAACTGGAGCTCTCCCAGAGAGGACAGAGTTATGATGGAGGACAGAGTTATGATGATGATAGATGTCTTCACAGAGCTCAGCAAAGGAAAATAAGTAAGCATGATAATGTCCCCAGATGGAGAAGGTTCTTTGAGGTATTACAGGAGAGAATTCAGGGATACACTCACAGAAGAGTGGTTCAAGCAGCAGTGGCTAGATTTATTAAAGTGAAAGTATACTCAGAGAGAGTGGGCAGGCTGAAAGAGCAAATGCCCCTTAAAGCAGAAGTACACTCAGGGAGAGAGAGCAGGTAAGCTAAAAAAGCAACTGCATGGATCCTTTGGTATTATGATCCTTTTGTTCTCCTAGGCTGGTAGAAGAGTGAGTTTATTTAGAACTATCCCATCCCTAAAAAGAACAGGCTTATTTTTAAGCTATCCAATCCTGTCCTGTTTTCTTTAGGATAGTGTCCTACCACTCTGGCTCCTGCCCACAATTGTCTAGATTTGTCTACAGTGGGGCATGGAGAGGTATCAAAAATGCAATGCTAATTTATTATAATTGGTATAATTGAAGAGAGGTCACTTCAAGGCGACTTGTGTACAGGTCTGCCCAGGAGCTAATAATAGGCAATTCCCTCTGACCCTTTCACTCTCCTCACAGGATGCCTGTGGTTTTTCCCAGGCTTGTTGAGCTGGTGGAACTATGTCTTTTACTGTCCCCCACCCCATCGTGACTGCAAGGCTATTTACCCTGCTTAGACAAATGTTTTGGGGTTTTTGCTCCCTCTTTCCTTGTTAATATCTAACTAGCTACCTACTCTAACATTGGATGATAGGTTAGAAGTAACAGAGCTAGGAAAGGAGAAATTACCAAAAACATAATGGGAGAAAAATTGTCTAAGCCAAAAAAGGCCTGGCTATGCATATCTATAGGATTTACCATGTTTCATGTAAAATTCAGAGAGAGAAGCCACAACTAGATAACTCCAGGTTACATTTTTTTTTACAGGTACAATTTATTTATCCCCAAGCTTTTGCATCTTGTAGGTACAAATGAGAACAGACTATCCTTTAAAAATTATTTTTAGTAATAAATTACCTCTTCAGTTTGGTGGCTCCATAGCCTCACTCCCTAGAAGCAGAACCTCAGTTGAGCTTGCTAGGATATCCTGTCTCCCATGTGTGTGGGGAGTCCCTGTCCATGTCTTGCTCCTCGCTGGCAGGTATAACATTGCTTGGTTCACAGACCCCCTACCACAGAAAACAGCCCAGATCAGCCACTGCCGAGTTCACCCTGTGACTTTAGGATGCTGACATTTCTTGGGCAGCTAAAACCACTGTCATACCACTTTCCCTGTTGCTGCCTTAGTCCAAGTGTGAATCCAACCGCTCCCTTTTCTATTGAAGGGTTAACAGTAGTGGAATAGTATTCAAACCCTGAGAAAATTGCTCATGGCTACCAGATATGTTGTCTTTCAGAGCCTAAAACCCAAGTTCAACAACAAACATAAGGAGTCCCTTAAAGGACCACTTTTTGTTAGCTCATGGTCTGACATCTGGTAATCAAGTCTCATTTTTCCCCTTTCCAGGAGTTCTTCTAAGCATGTCTTGGTCTCCTTGGAGGCCCCAGATAGGAAAGGGTTTCCTCTTTCATGCTGAAGGCTTTCTCTCAAGCTCTCCCTTTGTATCCTAGAATCTGCCTTCTCCTGTAATGACAAACCAGGGGCACATTCACCATTTTCAGAGAAGTCCACTCCAAACACCCTCAAAGATGTGGCTTTCCCTTATAATCTCAAAGGGATAGCATCATCAGAGCATGAGAGAGCAACAGCAGCACAAAGGTTACATACACAAGTGTATACTTACATTGTCCCATTCCAAATTATAAAGAGAAAACAGACCCTTTCAGGTTTAACATGTTTCTAAGTCTGTGTGGCTCAATCTGTGTACATGAGCTACCTCTGACTGTACCAGTTAGGTTGTCACTTTATCTATGCACGTCTTATTCTGAAAGACCTTTCCAAGAAGAAAGCCTCTCTCAAGCATGTAAGTTGGGAGTGGGAGCTCAGCTCTGGGGTGATGGAGGTGGAAAATGACATCTCCTCTACATCTTGCTCCAAACATCACTGTCTTTGCCCAATGGCAAAGAAGGACATTGGCTTTCCATCCCAGCAGTGCTACATCTCTACATGTTCTCAGATGAAATATCCTTATATATGAAGATAAACATTTTTTTAAATCCTATAGGCATCCAGGTAGATTTTTTTTTACAAAGTAAAAGTGATCAGTCTCTACCTAAATTTCTTTGAAACATTAAATTCAGAACAGAATACTATAAGGGGTGTCCAAACTTTTTGTGTCTGTGGGCCACGCTGGAAGAACAGTTGTCTTGGGCTACACATTAAATACATTGTGACATGTAATCACAAAAAAACCTCAATGTTTTAAGTAAATTTATGACTTTGTAATGGGCCACATTCATAGCCATCCTGAGTTACATGTGGCCCATGGGCCACAGCTTGGACACCCTTGGTTTATCAAAGAATTTTTGATATTCATCAAGATATCTTTTACATAAAAAGTCAAAGATACTCTGTGATGTACAACAGCCATAAATAGATAACACTCATATATTCTTAAAAACATATCAATACATCAGCTTTGCAAAGAAAAAAGCTAGAAGGAAACATAATGGTTGCTTTAGTGATTTCTCTGCTTTATATTTCTTTTTTTTTTTTAATATTTTATTTATTTGTCTTTAGAGGGGAAGGGAAGGAGAGAGGGAGAGAAACATCAATGTATGGTTGCCTTTCTACGCCCCTGCTGGGATAGCCTGCAGGAATTGCAACCAGGCATGTGCCCCTGGGAACGAACGCGATCGCTGGTTCGCAGGTCCCCAATCAGAGCTACATCGCCTGGGCCTTGCATATTTCTTTTCCAAACTCTTCTTAATGTTCACCTCTTAATTATGAAAAGTAAAATAAGCAGTGGAAAAACTCAAACTAAAGATCATCTACAAGCAATAATAAAGAAAAAGAATAATAGAACTTCTGTAAGGGACAAAATATGCTGGGAACCCTGTTCCCAGCTAATACACTGTACAGCTGTAGATAATACAACAAAGAGTATGCTTTTTCATAAAATACCATCTCTTGCTTTAAATATACAAGCACTATACAAAAATACATATAAATATATAATATATTCCAATGTTTCACATGAAAGTGAAAAACATGGCATGTCCAATGAATAAAGCTAATTAATTAAAATATTATTTTAATCCTTTGAAAGACTAAGGACAATCATAAAGGGATTTTCACACTTGTATACCATCATTTTTTCTCTTCTGAACTTAGAATTTTCACTTAAATTCTCTTCTTGGTTTATTAATAGGTTGAGCAATATCATACTGTCATTTTCCATGGCCCACAAGGAAGCTTGCAGGACTACATAGTATATCAGCTTGCAGTCTGCATGAAGGTACCAATTACTTGCATACCCTCTTCTTTTCTTTGAAAACTCAAATGTGTGCAGAACTAACCAGTGTCCTTCCTTATCAAAGCACAAGCAAATGACTTCAGGATTCTCCTGTGAAATAGTGAGAGCGGAAGTGGATGCTGGTTTCTCTAAGGAACAGCTAGTAGACCTGTTCATCAGTAGCGGTAAGACCATTTCAGCAAACTGAACTGTAATAACCAAAGGCATGCTCTTCAGTGATCCCATTAAAGCCAGTAAAGTTGTTGCTTGGAAATAAAATCCACTTTTCAATTATTCAACAGCTATGGGATGAAAATTGGCAACTCAGGTGAACATTTGCAAAAATTACGCATCAACAGTTGTAAAAATATATACATCATTATACTTATTTTACATTCTGCATTTTCTTCTTTTTAAATCTTTTTAAAATAAGTCATCTATGTGAGCATACTGTATTACTGGCACCAGAGTATACCAAGGAGAAATTGGTGGGAGCAGTCTACCCTAGTGGGACTGAGTATTGCATCACTGATACTGTTTAGAATTGCATGGTGATAATAAGAGATTGGTTATGGTAATTTTTATTATTGAACTACCTTCTTCACACCACCCTCAGTATGGTATTCACTGGCACTTTGCTAAACACATTGCATGCATTTAATCTCTGACAACACTATGAAAGGAGGTATAATTATCTCCATTTCAAAGGTGAGGAAATAGGCACAGAGAAGATCAATAACTTGCCACAATTACATGGTGAAAGAACGAGGATTAAATGCGTTTTCTTGAATTGTACATCTTAGGTTTCAGAGTTTAAGACTATGACCATTTCACCACAGGTGGAATTAGCATAGCCCTGCATAGGGTAGCATGACTAGTGACTATGACACAAAACTGAAATGAAGCATACCCCAGTTTCCACAGGATAAGAGCCACAGAGAGCCCTGGGGAGCAGCTGAAGAGGGGAGGCAGTTAGTTGTAAGATACATGAAGGATGGTTTGAAGCCCAAATTCAGATCTCCCTTTTGGAGGGAGGGATTCTTCTCATCTTTGGAGCTGTAATCAAGTGTACTATCTTGTGGCTGGGGCAGCTGTTGACCAAGTTTAGGAAGAAGGAAATGACCAGTAGTTCCTAACTCAAGAAATAAAATTAAGAGGCAGATTTGGGGATGGACTGAAGATTCCTAGACGCACACTTTGGATACAGGAAAATCCCGCTAGAATCTGAATGTTGCTGTAGTACCCAGGCTAGCCTTTGGCCAGAAAGCAGTGAATGTTAGCTACAGAAAACTGTTTCCTCTGAAGATGTTATTAATAATAGCTAAAATTTATTAAGCTCTTATTCTGGTAGGACCTATTCTAAACACCCTGATTTATAAACATGAAACACTTGAAATAAGAGATTAAGTACTTTGGCCCTGGCTAGTGTGTATTGAGTACCAGCCTGTGAATCAAAGAATTGCCAGTTCGATTCCCAGTCAGGGCACATGCCTGGCTTGTGGGTCAGGTCCCCAGTTGGGGGCATGTGAGAGGCAACCACACATTGATGTTTCTCTCCCTCCCTTTCTCCTCCCTTCCCTTCTCTCTAGAAATAAATAAAATCTTAAAAAGAAACAAGAGAGAGGTTAAGTACTTTGCATAAGGTCCTTCAGCTAAGACACAGAAGAAGACTTAAACCCAAACATCTGACTCCTGAACACAATCTGAATCACTGCTAGCCACTTCTTAAAAACACCTGTGCCAAAATTTCTGTTTCCCTTTTAGTTATGTAATTAATGCACTGCACGTTTTTTGGCTTTGTCTTTTTTTTATCTCAAAGTAAGAAGCTAAAATATTTTTCTCTCCCTATCAGATAGATAGCAACTACAGACTGTATTCCACTTAAGCCTAGAGAGCTAAGAACATAGATGAGCAGTGAAGTAGGTCATGAGGTGACCTAAGGTGGATGACTCACATTTCTAAATCTATGGGGAAAATCTTGGATTTGTGGCCCAGGATTGCATCCAACGCTGGCAGCATTGCATGATTCTCTGGTGTGTTTGGAAAGAAAAAAGAACTAAAAATTATTTCCCCCCCCCAAAGAAAAAGAACTCCTCTTAATGATTTTCAAATTTGGTTAATGGCACAAGTCTTTTGGTCCCTCGAAGTAGAAACTCAGGTCTTATTCACAGGCTTGAAAACTTACATGACCACAGGTGCCAACAAGCCACATTAACAGATGAACCAGGCTGGATGGGGCTGGAGGGAGGAGGAGGCATGTCTCCATTTACCTTGAAGGTAGCTCTCAGCTCCAGCAGCTTGTTACTGGCAGAAGTGTAGATTTAGTGTCCTGAGATCTTATAACTTTTAGGAAGAAGCCAGAAATTTAGGTATTTATGTGAAATGTATGGTTTTGTCCTTTCAGTATTGTCAGCTATTTCAATTTTTAAAGCAATAGGAGACTGACATAGAACCCCGAGGTCCTCTCACTCATGGACCCATCACCCCAATCCCATAGCCAGTCCACAGTTATGTCCTGCCAAGTTGCTCTCTGTGTGCATTTTCCTTCATTGCCATCAGCACCACCTTACTTTCTGCCCCCTTTGCCTATTTCTTATATGCTTTCCTGTAAGTGGCTGCTCTGCTTGTTTCTTCTCTCTGAATGCCCCTCAGAAGCCAGCCCCTGATTAAAAGTTCTCTGTGGTTCCTGCTCCTCACATCCTTCCATTGCCCACTAAATTAAGTCAATGCTATTCAAGACCTTCTGTCCAAGGACATTCATTCATCTGATTTGCTTATTTGACCCTTATTTATTTTTTATCTAGCTATAACATTATATATGATTATTGGTTACAGTGTGTTGATTTGATATACTTGTACATTGAAAAACGATTACGATCATCACCCCACATAATTACCATTTCTTTTTTTGTGGCAAGAACATATTTTAGTAACTTTCATATGTATAATAATAGATTGTTAACCATAGTCATGCTATACATTAGATCCCCAAAATTTATTTGTTTTATAAACATCTCCCCATTTTCCTGATCCCCCTGTGCCACCAACCACCATTCTACTCTCTCTGTTTCTATGAGTTTGGCGTTTTCAGATTCCACATATGTGATATATGGTTTTTGTTTGCCTGATTTACATCACTTAGCATAATGCCCTCAAGGTTTATCCACGTTGTCACAAATGGCAGGATTTTCTTCTTTCCTATGACTAGATAATATTCCATTGTGTGTGTGTGTGTAATGATATTTTCTTTATCTATTTATCTGTTGTTTAACACTTAAGTTGTTTCCTTATCTTGCCTATTGTAAAAGATGCTGCAGTGAATATAGGGGAGCATATATCTTTTTAACATCCTGGTTTCATCTTTTTGGGATATATACCTAAATTGCTGGATCATATGGTAGTTATATTTTGAATTTTTTTGTGGACTCTTCGTACTGTTTTCCATGGTAGCTGCACAAATTCCTGCCAACAGTATACAATGGTTCCCTCTTGTTCACATCCTTGCCAATACTTATCTCTTCTTTTTTTAATAATAGTTATTCTGACAAGCATGAAGCAATAGGCCATTTTGATTTTGATTTGCATTTTTCTGAAGATTAGTAATGTTGAGTTTTCATGTACCCATTGGCCATTAGTATGTCTTCTTTATAATATCTGACTTTTTAAAAAATAGATGCCTATCCTCCTGCAAAATATGGTGTTTCTTACATGTTTTTCCTACTGTCCACGTGTTTGTTCTTTCTGCAATTTTCACCTAGAATTATAAAGTGAACACACAATCCTTTTACTTCCAACACACAGTACAACTCCCACATGGCAGGTACTACACAAAGTATATTATACAGTACTCATTAAAATAGATATGACCTATGACAAGAAAAATCCCTATTTAAAATGCTCTAAAGACACCTCAAATGAAGGCCTCTCTGATCCCTCCCAAAATGACAGCTTCCTTTAATGAACAGCAGTAGACTTTGTTTAAACCTCTGTTTCCCACCTAACTATAGGTCAAGGCAGTGAGGATATTATTTGGGCTGTTGCGTTGGCTCAAACACATGTTATATACTGAGCTCTTTGAAGGCTAGTAATGTGTAGCTTTTTTTTTAACTTTACATTGCACACTGATTGCCAATGATTATATGTTGAAGAAGGGTGAATCTTACACAGAAAATAGAATGGGAAAAGAAAAAAGAAATGCGAGTCATATTCAGGTGTCAGCAAGTAGAAGAACTTGCATGGAGTGAAGGCAGTAAGAAATACGATTAGAGAGTGCAGGGGTTGATAAGGGAGGAGTTGATAGGGCATAGGGCTATAGAGTTAATTAAATTTGAAAAATGAAGTATATTTTAAATTTTATTTTTTAACTGAAATGTAATTAATATGTAACATACTAATTGCACATATATAACGCAATGATTCAGCATTTGCATGTATTGCAAAATGACCACCACAATAAGTCCAGTTAATATCTGTCATCATACATAATTTAAAAAGTTTTTTCTTGTGATGAAAACTTTTAAGATCTACTTTCTTAACAACTTTCAAATATACAATATCATATTACTGACCATAGTCACCATGCTGTACAGTGCATGAAAAATGAAGTATTTAAGCAGTAGACTGGGGCCCCCCAAATCTCCCATCTACTTTCTTATGTAGGAAATGGTGTGTCATCTCCAAATATGAAAGGATTTTGTTCTGTGTTTGGAGATGATAAGCAATTATTATCAGTAAGTAAAAGATAAGTCATTTGTAAACATCAAATACATTTAAAAAGGATGGCTATCATAAACAAAGCAAAAAAAAAAGAGAGGCAGAAAGAAAAAGAAGACAGAACAGGGGGGAAATGGGGGGGGCAAGAACTTCTAAAAATAACTAAATAAAATTAAAATAAAAAAAATAAAAAAAATAAAAAGGAAGCTTCTTTTTAAAATAGCAGTGCTAAGACACAAACACAAAGTTCATCTGCTAAGACCTTCAATGCAGTTGTCCAACTTAGCTGCCTGAGCTTTATGATCCATTCCTCAATTTGCCTCATTTCCCATGTCTAGTCAGTCTTTAGTTCTGTTGAATCTGCTTCCTATCTTTCATTTCTACCTCCTACTCTTCATTCACCATACCAACTCTCATTTCTCGCTCAGAAACTAAGGAGTCCTCAACACTAACATTTCTTGTTTGTTCTGGA